TATTTTTTAATACATTTAGATTTATTTATTAAATAAAATATTAATACTTTCAAATATTTCAAAAGTATTTATTATATTATTTATATTAATTTAGTATATTAAATTTTTATATATTTTTTATTTTAAATAGGAATTAAAAAAAAATATAAAAAATAATTTAAAGTCTAAATCCCAAGATTATTTTGATAAAAATTTAACAGAATTTTTTTTTTTTTAAAAAAATACATTTTCTGAATTACAAAATATTATAATTTCTTTAAAATATAAAAATGAAGGTTTAATTAATTTTAATTTAAATGTAAAATATTATAATTAATATTACTTAATAATAGTATAGTATAACTAGAAAACAGAAACTATTGATGCGTCTGAAGCATCATAAATCACATGATCATATAAAAGTAATAAAAAAATAAAATAAAATATATTACTAAAAAATGTAATACTAAAAAGTTTATCATAAAATATATACAGTCAACTCTTGATATAGCGAATTCTTGATATAACAATTTTTTGAACAAATATAATAAAAATACTCTTGTTATAGTGAATTGGCCAATCAAATCTCTTAAAATCTTCATTATAGTCTTATAGCAAAGTTGAGGTCTAGGATATATAGTTCATTATAACAAGAGTTGACTGTATTGGTATTTTGCTTAAAAATAAATATTCTTTAAAAAAATAAATAAAATAAAATGTATCTGTATCTACAATATTTGAAAAAAATTTTTCATACAAATATGTTCTATTTATTGTAAAATATAAATAGTTTGTAATGCAACCTTTATTTTATAATTAATTATAAATAATATCATTAAAAAAATTATTAAAGATTTTAAATAAAATTTTGTTACACATACGGTGATGTAAATAAAAATATCATCAAATGATAAATAAAAATCACATTATATTTGATCCAAAAATTTCATTGGTTATACACACATACGGACAGACATTGTATGCATATTCTGAGATTTAAATGGAAGTATCCTATGTTTACACTTCAGATAATTATATAGTTTTAATAAGTTAAATGTATTGCAAAATTTATCAGGAATGCATAAATAAATACATATGAAATTTAATATCCAGTAGGAATAACTATAATCAGATAATTGTATAAATAGTACTGATCAGGAAATAATGAATTATATAGTAATAAATAAATATTTAATAACAAATTATACTAGTAAAATTCATTAATTAGTAAATATTTGATAAAACCTGATTATTTAAAAATGGATGTAAGTAAAATTGTTTTAAGTAATAAGAAGAAATCATACTAAAGTATTGAGTTATCTTTAAAATAAAAAATACTCTTTTATAAATAAAATTGTATATTCAGAAACATAAAGAAATATTACTTTACAAATATTAATAATATAAATAATAATGTTATTTTACTAGAACTTGGATTTTTATTATCTTTAACTATTATGTTAATACTGCAAGAAATTATTTGAAAAGGCTCATATACTGTATAAAGAAATGTATATGAAAAAGAAAATTTAGTAGCCTGTTAAAAGTATTTCTTGATCAGACAATAATATATAACCAATTATTCTTATTATACATGATAAGTGTATTATCAACCCTTTGAATTTCTAATGGAGAACAAATTTTACGAAAAAAAGGTAATGGTCATTCAATTCATGTTAACGATTTCTTAACTGAAGTTTGTGAATTTCTGATGAAATGTAGATATCAGACAAAAATTTTGTATAAAGCTTGTATCAATATGGATGGTGAAAGGCTGACGATTTTAGAAAATCAGAGAGCACGTTTTCAGGATGTCAGGTCTTATTTCATTTGAGTCATTCCAATTTGTTGCTAGATGCATTTATTGCTAAACACATGAATTTAAGCGCGCAAAACGTATTTGGTAAAGGAATTTCACAAGTTATAATATTTCCGTTAGATTATCATATTTCGTAATGTGCGAACAGCCAAAAGGATTAAAGCAAGCTTTTATAGAAGAGGGTTATGGTTGAATGAGAGGTTAAAATTAGAAGTATGAATCAACAGTCAGATTTTTCAAAAAAAAACGATTATACTGTATATCGATAAAATGAGAGAAGTATTAAGCCCACGGAAAAAAAATAATTGGATCGTTATAGATTCGGATGGTTTCATCGTAAGATGTGTATTATTATATTATGTGCTAATCTATTGATTTTCTTTCTAATAAAGTGCAATTTGCGTCAAAAAAATTTTAATCGGATCTATTAATAGTAATTTTTACAAATTTAAATTGATCTATTATTCTCTTTAATATATATCCAAAGCCCACCACAAATACAAGATCTAGTATAACTTCTTGCCCATCGTGTACGTTGTATATCAGATGTCGCTGAATAATGACCACATCTACAAGTAATAATGATGAGGTTCGAAATTACATATAAATATGTAAAAAATACATTCATTATTCTCTCACCTTGTACATACACGATCTTTAATCGTACGTGATTTTAAAATTATATCGACAGATTCTGAAGAGATCCACTTAGTATCATAAACATATAAATTAACATTATTCTCTGTAGTGAAATTTTTTATAAATATTTGTTCCAAGTCCCGAAGAGTTCCGTGCAATGATTTTTGAAGTTTAGAATCGAAAAACATTACATATTTGGTCAATTGCGGATCTTGCGGATCTGAAAAAAATTAAGGACAAATACTAATTAAAAGAATGAGTCACAGTTTGTTAATATATATATATATATATATATTTTTTAATACCTTTCATTGATTTATCAATAATAGAACCGGCCTCATTTATAAATGATTCTAAAGATTCTAATTTAAGCGGCCAGGATTCAAATGAATACTGAAGAGTTCTATTCATATCTTGAAAATCAATGGGACTATTTATTGCTAAAGAATTAACGTATTCCTTAAATTTCCCAACAAGAGAGAGCAAATTTTTAAAAGCCGTCCGACTTATCAAATTATAAAGAAGGATGATATGAGACTTTTCTGATGCTAAATAAATAAATAAATAAATAAATTTACATTGAGTTTATAATTATTCCTAGTACAGTAATGAATTACAGAAAGTATATCATAACATTACATAGATCTTTCCCCGGCTTCATTGTAAAGAATAGTAAATACGTATCTTTAATAAAATAAACTGAAAAATCCATAACCCAGAAAGTGAGAGATAAAAGTGACTGAACGGAATCTAAAAATTAGTAGTTGTTAATTTATAAGCCATTTATTAATATAATAGATAGTTGCGGATGATGGGACAGATCGAATATAAATTTTACAGGTTTACCTGGAGAAAATGTACCATCAGAAGAAACGCTATTTTGAAATATTGCTTCTAAAGCACGTAAGTGCATAAAGTATAATGTATTTAAATAAGTAATATTATCCCGTCGACAAGATTTTAATAATGATAGTTGTATTCCAAACAGCCTGCTTAGAAAATCTGAAGACGCTGTTGTTTCCAACCCATCTGGAAAAACGTTCGATAAATTTTTAAACGTTTCTTTAAGAATAAGTTGAAATACACCTAATTATTGAAAAATAATACGTTAACCCAACGCAACTTGATAAATAACATACTCAATATATATACCTCCTTGATCATCTTGATCAACTTGATCACCGGAAAATTTCTTTATTATATTCTCTAAATCCGAATGATCAATATTATTTAATATTGATAATGTCAGTTTATTTGCACAAGATGATGCAACACAAATCTGAGCTATTTAAAGAAAATTGTATTTAAGTAGATAACTGAATTAATGATTAGCATGTAAAGAAATGTATGTGGACAAATAATGTTTACCTAGCAAGTCGATGTTTTGATCCAATGCGTCAGCTATGTCCAAACAATCAAGTTTATCGGACGCTCTTCTGCAAAGAAGTAACGTTCCATTCGGTGAAGTGGCAAATTCAATGATTGCTAATTTAAATCGAAAAATCAAGTTAACAAAAAAGTTAATGATTGAAACATGAACATGAATTTTTTACCGTCTGTACAAGCCGTATAATTTGAAGGAACCCAAGTACTGTATTTTGGAAAATTGTAATCTTGAAAATATTTTATGCTAACATGTCTTTCTCCTGGAAGAATTTTTAAAGTGTCGCTAAAGAAATAACAATTTGTTAAAAAGATACGATTAAAAAAAAAAATTTGATTTTTTTTTTCTAACATGAATGATACCCTTACTAGTGACGAAACTGAACTTGACCATCACTAAACCCAAGGAAGAGTTCGTTTTCTTGTATCCAAATATTTGTTACCAACTTATGATCCAATTGTTCGCAAACGATGAATCGAACATTCTTGAAAACAAAAAGAAAAAAAAAATTATATAAGATATATCATTAGAGTACGACTAATTTAATTATCAATAAAGCATACCGGTGGTGGTATATCAATTTTCATTACAGTTTCTGAAGAATCAATTGATGTTGGTGTGGATTTATTAATTTCCCACATAGCAATGCTGCTATTGAAAACGCTAGACCCTGTGACCCGAATAAAAACATACATACGTATGTTATATATATTTTGATTAAACGTATTTATTATGAAATATTTATAAATATCGGTATAATGAGAAAAAATTACCGTGATATCACGAACGCACTATAGGTAATTTTTTTTTTCCTAATATAAATCACCAGTGATTTGTCAACAGAAAAAAATTATTTATATTAACCTGCTTTCTCGGCTGTTATAATTATGAGTCGGATTCCATGAGATTGCGTGTTTGATATTAGTTTCAAGTGCAATACTGGAGATCGTTCAATGAATAAAGGGGGGTCACTAATTGGAGTAGCAAGATGAACATTAGCGATAGGCTGACAATCGACTTGTAAAGAAAGCATGTCAATTTTGATTTCGTAAAACATGACTAGTTTTGGCAGAAATTCAGGACTGTATGTAGCTAATATATAATTTCCATCTAAAAGAAAAAGAAAATGAAAATGTTGTAAAGCTTATGGGTATAATTTTTAAAATCCGTCGTATTGGTTGTATTGATAAATAGTTACCGCTAAGTACTATATCAGCATGTGATATTCGTTTTGAAGGATAGCGCAAGTGGGAAATAATTTTCGAAAGAAATTTCTTTCCTTTCTGGTACCAAACAGCAACCTAAATAATTAAACAAAATATAATAATCAAATCTAACATTTGAACCTAAAAAAAAAAAGTTATTATTAAACATAATACACAACAAATTTTACCTTTCCATCAGTCGTGACAGTTATGAAAGCGAATTCACCAAATTGATTCCGAGGACCTTTAAATGAACCCCGTTTATAAAGTGACTCGGCTGAATGCGCTTTAGAAACACGTGAATACTATAAGACAATAGAAATTATGAAATGAGATCGTAATACATTAATAGAATAACGCAAAAATAATAATCAACTAACCAATCGTGCACTATCTAACCACGTAAATTCAATTACATTTTCTCCAAGGTTGACATTACAGATGCATTTCCATTGATTCACAAAATTATTCATGGTCCATATCGCTATTTTACCTCTTTGGTCTATAGATGCTAAAGCAGAACCTGTCTGATTCCATACTAAATCTGTAATATCATCTCCGAATCTATGATGACTTTCTACACGATCAAAAGGAAATAAATTATCATGATTTGTAAAAGACCATGCGGGACCATTGGCATCAAGAGAAGAAGTTCTACATGAACTGAAGGCTCCAATACTTGGAGAAAAGCGTGAAAATCTAGTATCTAAATTATTATTAGAAGGTGGTGACCATGCGATTATATTCTGTGTTGACCATGCAATTCGTCTTTCAAGTTTAAAATAAAACGATTAGCTATAAAGGAAAATTATGATTAATTATTATTTCACATTGAAATCTGTAGTTTACAAACCTTGCTGCTTTGCGGTAACATAACTCGTAATATAAACGTTCCGCATCTGTGTCCATATGTAAAGAAGTGTAAGTCATCATTCTTTAAATGTTGCGAAAGATATGGGTTTGGCAGTTTTTTCAATAAAAATTTCGATTAAAATATTAACGTTGATTGGCTGAAAATTTTAATCATGACCAATTATTTTTTGGGGTACCGTATTTCATTGATGTGATATAGATTGGGGTTGCGCAATAATTGCGCCAATTCCTATTTTACTTTACATACTAGGAAACGGAAACTGTTATGAGTCCGGAGCGAAAACTTTTATACCATCATATTAAATTTTACTAATTATTTATATAAAATTACAAATTAAAAATCATTAATAAAAAGATATAAAATAATATGTATTGGTATTAATATTATGTGATAACATAAAAGTCAGGGTCTCACATTACGAAGGGCTATAATAGACCTAGGTGATAAAGAGTTCAGTGCAGGTCTTTCTTTTGTGGCAGTGTCTCGAGTACGTGCCCTTGAAGATCTTTTATTCAAACCGTTCAACTTCGATAGTCTTCAGCGTATTAAAGACTGCAAAAGATTAAAAGAAAGATTAGATGAAGAGAAACGATTGGTTTCTATGACATTAGGAAACAGAATGTAATGTCAATGGTAGATCTAACAATAAAAAAAAAACGAAACGGAAAATATTTTCGATACAAAAATCATTATTATTATATTTAGCGCTCTAAAATACATATATTGTTTTATTTCTATGAAATCTATGAAATCTAACTAATGTTTCTAATTCTCTAATTCTTTCTATTTTTTTTTTTTTTTTAAAAAAAATTTTCTTTTTCTGCATTTAGCATTGCTGCATTAGCATGCAGATGAGTATATCTTTTGTTTATCGTTTTTTATTTTTTTTTTATTATCGATGTAAAAAAAAAACTCTTTTCGCAACATGGGCAGACCAAAGAAAGAGAACAATAAAAACCAACAAAAACAACAATCTCACTCTCGCCCTGGCACTCCAGAGTAACAACTAAGTAAAAGACAGAATACTTTACAAATTACTGAACCTGAAAGTAGTGTCCAACAACAACAACAAAGAAACTCCAGTAATTATGAACGTCGACCCTCTTTCGCTTGATAAAGGAAAGGGCAAAGAAGTTTCAACAGATGAAACAACTCTAGTTGTCACTTCCAATTAAGCACTCATGAATGTCGACGATGTTAATGATGTCTCAAAAAATTTTTTGACAAACAAAAAAAGCCCTCAAGAAATTTTCACTAAAAAAATGAATTTTTTCGTATTTTTTCTGGCGAACGAATACCCGGAAAATCCTTCCAAACAAAAATCTGATGTCACTGATCTCGTTTTCGATCAGTTTGACTCATTTTCAAGTGTTGTGCTTGCCAAATACCCAGACGACTTATCAAAAAAGATCTTAAAAGTGACATTTTCTGATAAGGACGAAAGGGACGCGTTTTGTAAAGTCATCTTGCCTAATTTGAAAAATCACACGTTTTTACCTCTCGAAATAGTGTCAAAATACCCATTTGTTCTACAACAATCAATCAAAGTCACTAAAATACTATTGGATACCACAAAATTGCATATCAAAAAGATCTTCTCCCAATTTGGCAAGATCGTTAGATTCAACATGGAAACAAAGAACCTCTGGCAACAAGTTACGATCACATACGATGCAGATACGAATTTCGTTGAATTCAAAAAAGGTTACGGTGTCTTCCTCCTCAACGATATAGTTTGTTTTCACATGTGTGACCTATCATGTGACAAAATCTTGGAATGATCTAAATTTTCAACCAAACTTACATGTCTCTCTCGTTATACCACGAGTAAAGATTTATTCGATTTGGGTCTGATGGTTAATGCAACGGCCTGGATTATTCCTAAAGTCAGATCCAATTATCACAATCTACAACATGCATTCTTCTATTTTCCTTCAGCTGATGACTACGAAGCAACGATCAGTAATGACAATTTTACCATCAATGGCAAACATGTAGAATGGACTGAGACCCAAGTCAAATTATGTGTTATTTGCTTCTCATCGCATCACAAAATCAAAGATTGCTCAAAAAAACATCATATTGCTCAAGATAAAAACACTTAACATCTGTACTAAAGATTTTAACCAGCACAATACAACAACTATAAAGCTCCAATTCATCCTCGTAAAGGTGCTATTAGTCCCAACATCACTTTCACTAACATTGTCATAGATGGTATACAGAAATCACCTAAACAGATTAGTAAATCTACGGACTCATGATCTTTGAATAAGAATACAAAAAATAGTTCCCTAATACAACCCTCTACCTTATTACCAGATTCATCAGTAAATTTAATAATGCGAAGTATTACGTAAACCCTACGTTTTGTAATCTTACGTAAGGTTACGAGCCCGTCGAAAAACTTACGTATCGTAGTACTTCGATATTTTTACGATGTGTA